AAATTTCAAAACAGCATTTATTTGAAACAGAAATCTTTTGTAACATTATAAAAGTATTTAATGTAACTTTTAATCGCCTTTTGATTTAATGCGCCCTTGCTGAATAATAGTATTAATTTCTTCAAAAACTTTTGAAAGGTAGTGTATATGTATAATTTGTCAGGAATAATACAAGTTATTTATTATTAAATATTAAAAAACAGTTCTGCTGTTTAAAGCCATAAAAGTCTAAGTACTGGACATCCAACAAAACAAACAAATAAATAAATACTAATAAAAATAAAAATGACAATTAGTGTAGTATGTTACAATTGCCCCAAACTACCTTACAGCATTTTAATAATTACCAGTTTAATATTGTTACATCACTCTTTCACAAAGAGAGAGAGAGAGCTGTCTTACATGTAGTATAGTCTTCCTGCTGCTTCCATTTCCCTTGTCCGGTAAAAGAGAATAGTCATAAACAAGAAGTGAGAAAGTGACAGTGTTTCAAGAGTAAGTTTAAATGACAATAGTTTTGATTGCTACGTATTTTGTATTGCAATACACAGCTCACCTCTAGGGGGTGACAATGCCACATGTAGGTTACTAATTCACTAATTTTAATTGCTATAACAAAATAACACTGACACAATGTGATCCATATTATCCTGATGTAAGCCATATGATTAAGACTTGCACTAATTTTAAACTTTTCTCATGACTGTATAAAACTGTAAACTGTTTTAGCAACCAGGTATTAATTAATTAGGCCTAGTACATCGGAGTAAAAGATAAACTTTATCAGTTTTCACAATGCAAGTATAGAAATTTTATAATGGCACCTCTGCACTTGTTATTGTGTATTATGAAATAGCCCCACTGCTAAAATCTTTGAAATAAACTGATATTTAGATAAGGGTCAAATATGCGTACTAACCACGTCAGCACTTTTAAACATGTTAGTCGCTCACTTATGGAGTGACTGTGTGGAACCAAGGCATATCAAACCTCTGTGACGAGGGGAAAGAAAACATTTAAAAAAAAAGGAACAAAATGCTGGAGAAACGATGACAAAAATGACTGATGAAAAGGAAGGGTGATTATTTTTAACAGGATGTGGATAATATGTGGTATTTAGGCGAGAGGCCTTTGCCTGAATCAGTCCTCAATGACAGCTCCAGCGAATTATGAAATCAGTGAATTTTCCGCCACCCTCCTTGAACTAAAGATAATTAGCAATCACCACACAGAGCGAGAGAGGAGCGATCTATTCCTCTTCTTCCTGTATCTCTCGCCTCTTCCCCCCATTCTCCAGCGCTGTCAACTTTTCTCTCTCGAGCGCAGAGTTCCGTGTCCAAACCAATTGGCTGAATCAGCCGTAATGACAGGCTGACAAACCGTGAGCAGAAGAACACAAAAGGAAAAGTGTCACTTCATCAACCCTGCTCGACCTTGTCACCAGGCCGCCATGTAAACAGCCGCCACGGCCACGACAACCGCGCTTCCCCAGCAGCCATCATAACGGGTTATTCCTCTGCACACCCTATTGTCAATTTTTTTTTTCTTTTTGTAAAAAGTTTCCATTTCTGCGAGTATATCTTAACGGTTGATGGGCCATCTCGCAGGAGAGTAATCGTGAGGAGGGAGAGGGGGAGAGAAATATAATCAGTAATGATTCCAGCGCATGGTTCTTTATAATCAGTTGAAGACACGTCCTCTTGTGGATCATTGCATGATTATGGCCTTTGATGGGTTCATTAAGGACTCATAACTCCTCAAAGATCTTCATCGTCGGCCCTTCTCAACTCAGAATGCACTTTGCCATGCAAATCTGATGTGCATCCTTGGCCTTCAACAAGACCCGCCAGACCCCTCAAACTGCAGGCTCTCCTAACTGACTGACCTTTTAATAAAATAACTAAACCTGTTTCTATGGAATGAAAATTGCAACTGGAATGATATAATTTTAGATTTAGTACTAGCTGGTAGTAGGATTAGTAGTTGTCCATGTTGACAACTTTTTTTTAACAGATTAACCACTGAATTAGATCATCCCTATTGCTTCAACAATACATCCTCTCTCCAAAATCTGCCCATGATGTGTCAACCAACCCAAAATGTCAGCAAAAGTTGTAAAATGATAATACCTGCCTCTGCAAACAGTAAGAAAAAAAAGTCAGATGAGCAGCCCAATAAAAAATAAATGTATTTATTTATTATTAATAATATTTAATTTTTTTGTAATACCATGCATGTCCTTATTACCAGATATTACAAAAATACAATTATTTCATTATCAATTTTATAGACAGTTATAATTCAAGTTTAATTTTAAGAGTGCCCACAGCTTCCCTGCACAACCATTTAGAATGAAAATGAAGTTTGTCTCTCTTTCTGTCCGTCTTGTTCTCTAGCTCTCTCTTTCTATCTCTTCGCCACTCCTCAAAAAAGTTGCCTTTGAGTTTTTCAAAGCAAGGGTTGCCATTGAGCTCCAACAAAAGCCAAGGATAGCTGGCGATTGGACCCTGATGAGGTCCACTACCTCATTACTGACAGCCGAAAACATTTGATGCTTTTTTCCCTCCTGTTTGGGAGGAAGAGGGGTGGATTGACAGAGCCTGGCTTAAGGAGCGCTCGGTGGGAGAACTGAAAAAGAGAGGTGGCAGAGGGGGACAGGGGGGAAAGGTTGTAGTCCATTCATCTTTGTGTGTCTTACAGCCTCTGTGGGTAGGAGAAAAGAAAAGGGGGGGGTGGAAGCAGGGGCAGGGTAAAAAGAGAACGAGAGACAGCTTAAAACACTGCCTTTATGCTTTTGAGTCCAGGACGACTCCTCTTACATCAAAGTGTTTTTACCACTGCAGTGTGTCTCTCTCTCTCTCTATGTGTGTGTGTGTGCGTCTTGAGTGAATGTATTGAGAGATTAGGTGACTTAGTGAGTGTGTGTGTGAGGGAGAGAAAGATAGAGAGAGCAATGGGGGTGGTTAACGACGTGAACGCACTAATTATGCCTAATTATCTATTCCCTTTACATGTAACCGGCTTTGTTAGTTACTCAGAACGCTCTCAAAACATACTCAAAATGTTCTCACAACCTCTCCTTGCCCTGTCCAGGACTCTTAAAGAAACATCACCCTTGGAACATCTGTCTCACTTTGAAAGCGTGGACCCCCCAGACCTCCGCAGAGGCCACAGGCCACAGCCCTCGTCCTCTCCATCACAATCACTCGCTCCTCAGTCTTTGCTAATCTGCGCCTGCTAAAAACATGACTGAACAACTTTAGTGGTGACTTGGCAAAACAAAATCTTTTGAGTGACTGTTAACGAATGTCAAGGCACCTCAAATGTTGGTCGTACAGCTTATTCACACCAAAGCCAGAAGTTTTGACAGAGGAAAAACATGACTAAGATTTTAAGGCCAAAATATTGTAGTTATGCTAAAAAAATAAATTCTTAATTTAATAAACATTACCATTCAGGTTTTATTATTTTCAGAGAATGTTTGGTAGAAAAAAAATGTTTGGAAGTATTTTGTCTTTTAATGTTTCTTAGTCGTATTGGACTTGGTGTAAAAAGGCTTTTAGACATAAGATCAGATCAAAATATAAAAGCAGCAAGAGAATAGACAGCGGCATTCCTGACATCCACTTCTCTGTCCTTCTCTCTGTGAATAGTGTATATTATTAGATGTCTCTCATAGGTCTGTCTTTATTATCTGCTTCGAATTAATCAGGAGTCAGTCTGTCTAGTCAACTATTCTTCAAATACTTTAAGGTTTCGGTAAAAGTTTAGACATTTTTATGATAAAATGGATCTGAAGGAAAGCTAAGATAAGAAATATTAGAAATAGGAGGTTAACAAAAGGTCAATGGAACAATTGCAGTCATCCAACATAAACTGCCTCTTTTCATTTTTGCTCCATCTTCAAGTCATTCAATCATCATACACTCCTCCTTACCCACCAGAGACATTCACCATGAAAACACACACGCATAAGACCAAGACAACCGTATGTACCATTTACTCCAACCAAAGGAACACAGGGAACAGCAGAGAAAAGCAGTTAGCCAAAATGAAGACAGACATTTGAGCGAAAATAAGATCATCACGCCTCTATTATACTATTTTAATGTGTCTGTTGGAGCAAAAGATGAATAAAAAAATAAAATAAAATAAAACACTAGCAGGGTTTCTGCAGACTTTAACAAGTTAAATTTAAGACTTTTTAAGACCTTTTTAATACCCCCTTATATGAAATGTAAGACCTAAACCTGTAATGGAAATACACATTTTATTACATACATATACGTAATATTTAATGTGTATAAATTAAAAAGAAAACAAAATATCAATGCTGTAATAAATGGTATTTATTACTATGATATACAGTGAACTTTTCATGTCAGCAGACAATATTCCATACAAAATATATTGAGTAAAATAGCTCACTTGTCACGGTGTTATTTAACTATATCATGTTATGAATAAACTAAACAGTCTGAATAATCCTCAGTGTGTTTCTTCTGAGTTTATGTGTGCGGTCACGGTCATTTGTTCTGAAGTCTCGAGACAAACAGAGTGAGCCTCAGCAGCGCGAGCTTGTATTCTGTATTCTGCTAACTTACTGCAACTCTCTCTGATGACGCAGTAAGTAAAGTCATTAGATCCGTCAGACTGAAGATATTTTAGCGGTAATGTGACCAAAAATATTTAAGACCCATCGAATCGGAATTTAAGACATTTTAAGACTTTTTAAGGCCTTATATTAGGAAAACGTTATTTAAGACATTTTAAGACTTTTTAAGGACCCGCGGACACCCTGACTAGGAACAAAAAAGACACCATGGAAGACAAATAAGCTGCTTAAAACGTAAAAATCAGTAAGGGGTTCTGACCTTACTTGATATGAATAATTAGGGCTGCCAAATAAAAATAAATTAATCAGATATCAATATTCATTCAAAGACATACATTACTTTTCAAAAGTTTGGAGTCGGGACTTTTTTCTCTTAAGTAAGTCTCTTATGCTCATCAAGGCTGCATTTTATTTGAGTAAAAATACAGTAAAACAGTATTATTGTGAAATATTATTAGAATTTATGAGTTTAATATATTTTTTAAAATGTATTTTATTTATGCGATGCAATTTGTGCTGCTTCATATTTTTGTGGAAACCATTCATGTTTTTCAGGATTCTTTGATGAATAGAAAGTGAAAAAACAGCATTTATTTAAAATAGAAATATTTTGTAACATTACTGTAACTTTATAAATATAGAAATATATTTCAATATTATATTGTGTTTTGAAATTTTTCAAAACATTTTACATAATTAATCATACTGAATTAACGTGTTCAACTGACAGCCCTAATAGTAATATTTCGAATAATATTTTGTAGACAAATAAACATTACCACTCTGAAGAGAGATTAAGATATATAGAAGAAGAACAGTCAAGAGCCAGTGAGTGCATTTCAGTGAGTCTGTCACACATTATTAAGGTTGACCAGGCATGAGAAGAGGCACTTGGGCCACCCTAGTTACCCTGAACTGGGATCCTGGGTTGCCCCAAAACCAGATGGCTTAACAAAGAAGCTAGAGCGTTAGAGGTGCAACGCAGGGCGAGAGGTATTCAGCACTCTTACCAGGCAAGATTAACACAGGCCAGAATAGAGGGTGACTTTAAGGACCCCAGGGATTTGACAGTGACTGTGCTGGGCCACTGACCATAAAAGACCCAGGGGTCAAACTGAGAAAAATCACAACCTGAATGAAGCGTCTAGCAGCTTTTATTTTTAGCACATTATATAGAGGGGGGTCCTTTAACTATGGGGAATACTACAATATAATGTGCATTAGAAAGACATTGTACATTGTACTCAACTTCAGGCCATCCCAGATGTAGATGAGTTTTCTTCTTCATCAGAACAGATTTGGAGAAATTTTCATCATTACATCATTTGCTCACCAATGGATCCTTTGCAGTGAATGGGTGCCGTCAGAATGAGAGTCTAAACAACTGATAAAAAAACATCACAATAATCCACAAGTAATCCACACAACTCCAGTCCATAAATTAACTTCTTGCAATGTGAAAAGCTGCATGTTTGTAATAAACAAATCCATAATGAACTTATCTAACTTGAAAGGAGTCCAATATTTTTTACTAAAGGAAGCATTATTATGGATTATGGACTCCTATTTTGGCCAGAAGTAGGGGTTTAAAGTTAAAATGGGTTATTGATGGATTTGTTTCTGACAAACACAAAGCTTTTCACTTCAAAAGACAATACTTGATGGGCTCGAGTTGTGTGGACTACTTGTGGATTATTGTGATGTTTTTATCAGCTGTTTGGACTCTGATTCTGACGGCACCCATTCACTGCAGAGAATCCATTGGTGAGCAAGTAATGTAATGCTAAATTTCTCCAAATTCTCTAAATTTCTCTTCTTCAGATAAGGAAACAAACTCATCTACATCTTGGATGACCCGAGAGTTAGTAGACTGTCAGCAAATTTTCATTTTTGGGTGAACTATTCCTTTAAAAGTATGCTCAATATCTAACTAGAGAAAAAAAAGAAAAACATGGGAAGAATATGTTACCTTTTATATATTTACAGTGTCACAGCCACAAACAAGCCGCTCAATGTTAAAACACATTGAGCGTGCTCAGTGTGCTGATACCAATCAAATGTGCAAGAATGTGGCCAGCTGTAAAATGCCTGGAAATGATGGTCTGATTATTTATGATGGAAAGCTGTCGCAGGATGATGATAATTACCCAGACAGCACACAGGATAATACCAATACCTGCTTAAAATAATACAATTAACTTGCAAAGCAGATCAGAGCATTGCTGGCGTCCATGGCCGGGTGCACTTTGAAATGCAAGCAGCTTCACGCAATGCCGACCCACACCAGTCATTAAACGGCCTCCATGTCTCTCACACTCTCTCTCAGTCTGTTGCTCTCATCTCCAGGCATGATCAAAGCGGTCTTTTTTCTGTTTTGTGTGTTTTTGCAAACACATATGGGGGGTTGTGTATTTTTATCTGTGAATAAAATACATCAAAAACCAGACAGAGCAGAGGAGGAAACATGAAGAGAGAGAAAGAGAGACATGGAGATAGAATGAAAGGATAAATAAATTCACTGAGAGAATGACTTTGTCTTTACCTTGAGTACGCCAATGAAAGGCACAAAAGCAGCCCTCTGAAGCCCGTTTTTGTACAGTTCTGAGAAAGAGAGAGCACAAGAGGGAGAGATGCTGGTTAGATTCACTCTTTAGCCTCCTCATAATGTCATTTTCCATCTATGATTGGCAAATAAAGTGTCTATTGATGAAGTGAGGGACAGAGGGGGAGGAGGGACAAAAGGGACGAGGAGAGGCAGAAACTGATTTCTGTGGGCAGCGCAGGAGAAAGGCAGTACATGAAATTCATTACATTCCCAAACAATGAGCTCAAGAGAAGAAGTCTCTCTCTTTCTGCACAGACAATAAACCTGCATCACGTGAATGGAGACTTCAATTAGCCATACGGGCATGATAAACCATACACACACACACACACACACACAGATGTAAAGAGACCATGATGAGGATATGCTGCTGTCTGTGCTGTAAAAGCTTGTTTAAAGCTGACGTGGGCAAGAAAATATAAAGGAAACAGAACTGTCATAACAGAGGCATGTTGAGCTATAAACAGTCCAGTGAGACATGTTCGGCCAGTTCTCACCCAAGAAATAAAAGCATGCTATAGGGATATTACTATGAAAGAACAGATAAAGCATTTCCATAGGCATCTGGAGGCCACTTACGACAATCATTCAAGTGAGTCTTTTTTTTTTTCTCTTTTTCTTTTTTTTTCAAGAGCAATGCAAACTGGGATGACCCTCACTTACTGAGAGATATTTTAAGGCATCCTATATACTCTTTTTCCTTAACATCCACTTATAATGTTAGTCTACACTGTACAAAAACAGTAAGTCAAAGTATAAGTTGTTTAAGTTTTTCATGGCCATTTTCTCCCCCTCCAACCCTTAAAATTAAAAGGCTATTTTTGGCCGCAGTACATGCAAACTTCAATTTAAATGGTCCCTTTACCTTGTAACAGAATGTGTAAATGTGGGCAGTCATGTGCTACTTATCAGACATCAGAAAGTAGCAAAAGTTCAGAACAAGATGATTGTGCAATTTATTTAATGGAACATTTTTGAGAGTAATATATATATATATATATATATATATTACTCTCAACAATTTCCAATTTTCCATATATATTTCCATATATATATTAATTGTTATCCTTAATCCTTGTCCAGAAACATTACGAAAAACTGGAAAAATCATGGAGTTTTTGAATATTGGCCTTGAAATTAAAAAGGTTAAGAACCACTGCTTTAAGATGATTCTGCAGTAAGTCATTAATTTCAAACATTTTAAATACTGTTAAAACATCATTAAAATATTTCTAACTAAACTTTTCCTAGTTTATATCTTTGATGATTCTCAATAATCTGTTGTAGGTCATCAAATAATTTATTCATTTATATTATTAAAAAAAACACCACACAGACACATCTAGATGCTTCTGAATGAATTCTACACTCTTTTGGCAGTTTAACCATATTATCCCGGTGCATAACTAAAGGGTCATTTAAAGATTTAGGAAGTGAAGTGCACACTCCTTCACATTTGTACATCCATTTCCCTCACTCTACCTGAAGAAATGGTTTTGGACGACGACAAACATCCAAGTTCAAACACGTGAGCCTCTTTAGCGGCTCTTCAGTTCAGCATCTTTATATCAATAAACGAGCAATCTCTTTCGGTGCCATCTCTCTCCCTCCCATCTTTCATGTGTACCCGTCTATCCATTAGTCACCTAATTAAAATGGAATAAGATGGCTATTAAATTTTAGCGTAGGCTTTGTTCTCAGTGGCTGGTTAATGTCAGGAGAGGGTTTCTTTATGTAACTGCCGCTCACCGTTTTGAACTCGGCACACAAGGCCACTTCATACAACGAGACATTAGCAGCGCTCCAAGACAGAGACAGAGAAGAGAAAGGCAGAAGGAGTGTCTTATCTCTACCCTTATCACTCTCCCTCTCCAGTTTAATGTAACATCACAGCAAATTGCAAAATACGGCATCTGTTGAATCAACAATGAGGCAGAGGAAGAAAAGAGTGGGAATGGTGGAGAGAGATAAAAGACTAACTGCTCACGTTCAAGCGGGTACTATCAAATAAAGTTGCCTCGTTTTATGATGAACAGCATATAGGTGAGAAATCTTTGATGGCGTGATCATGATTTAAAGGGATAGTTCACCCAAACATGTCGCCCACATCATTTTAAACCTGTATGATTTTCTTTCTTCTGTGGAACACAAAATGAGATATTTAGAAGAATGTCCAAGCTGCTTTTTTCTTTTGACAGCTTTTGCCACCATTCACTTTTATTGAACGGAATTCAACAGCTTAGACATTCTGCTAGATAACTGCCTTTGTGTTCCACAGAAACAAAAAAAGTCATAAAGGTGAGTAAATAATGAAATAAAATTTCATTTTTTGGGTGAATTATTCCTGAAGTTACAACAAAAAGCACATAGGAAATGGTTTACTGATGAACTAAGGGTTTAAAGTTCAGATGGATGCTGTCATCGTTGTATTTCAGCCCTAAATAACACTCCTCAGATTAGTTTCATGTAATCCACCACAGAGAAGCAGCCATATTGACAGGTGTTTGAGTGCATGCAAGAAAGGAAGAGAGCAATAAAAAGCAGAAAAGGAGTGAGAGACTTTACGTGAATTATCAATAGACCTCAAACATCATGGCATCAACATACACCAAAGAGTGACTTAAAGGGGAGGTGAACTTTAAAAAGGTGTAAAAAGGAAGATCCTGACACATGAGATGGTGCAGAACTGGATTAGAACACGAAACGGATGTGTAGTTTAGGAACATGTTTTACTTTCTGGCCACACAAAAGACTGAGGAGAATGAGAACGGTACGTTGGTCTATTGTTGGGAAGTTGGTAGAGAACAATACAAGGTGAAAAAGTACAAGAGTCATGTGTGCTGTGTAGGTGACAGGTCAGTATCAGAAAACACACTTAACTCTGGAAATTGATGGAGGAAATAAAGGAATAAACTGCTTTTACTGTCAGATTTGTTTTTGTTTTTGCAAAAAGTATTATGAATTATAAAAACTCATATATATTTAAATATATAAAAAATATATTTACACTTTGGGGTCTGTAATATTTTTTGTATGTTTTTGAAAGAAGCTTCTTTCAAAGGGTGCATTTATTTGACCAAAATACAATAAAATGGTAATATTATGAAATGAAAAGAACTGATTTGTATTTTTATATTTTTTTTAATGCAATTTGTTCCTGTGATGGCAAAACTGAATTTTCAGCAGCCATTTCTCCAGTCTTCATTGTCATAAGTTCCTTCAGAAATCATTTTGATCTTCCTAATCAGAATATTTTCAGTACTCTACAGGATTTTTGAATTGAATGTGTCTTAATATAGTAAATAGGTCACTTTTCATTTCATGCTGACTTTAAAGCAACCTATAGCTACTGTTGTTTCCATTCTGTCCTCTAGGCAGGACAGTCAAACACTAAGGGAGCGAGCACAGATGTATTAGCTGAAGATGAGCAAGGCACAACTCTCTCCCCTTTGCCCTTCCTCTGCCTTGAACTAATTACCACAATTGTGTGCATGCATGTATACTTGTGTATGCGTGTACATGCGAATGAATGTGCGAAAACCAGGTGCCGTTACATTTTAAAACCAAAGCCTCGGCCAAGGTCCTTTGACATCACCCTCCCCAACACGCTCGCACACAGACGCAGGACAGACACAAAGCCACTCCACCTGACTGTAAAATGACCACACAGAGCCGCGGCTTTCTGCTAGAGACAAGGACAAGTGGCCAAAGCACTGAAAAAGGTAAATAATTGAATACATAAATAAATAAATAAATAAACAGCGTTTTGAGGTAAAATCAGTGGCACAATGACAGCCAGATGGCCACACAGAGACAAATACATACACACAGATGCGCTCCCATTGTGCTCTTGAGGGCCTGGCATGGCTGTCCCTGAATCTCAGAAGCGAGAGGATGAGTGGTTCTTTCATTATTATCATTTTCATCATCATCATTCATTATTATCATTTAAACGTTGCCTTTTTCACAGCGGCGAGCTGTTGCCTCACACACATCTGCAGCAACACTGGGGCTGCTGACCCTCCCCTGACAAAAAGAGCCCTTTAGTCAATAACACACAATGAGATCGACCATGGTCTGCTCTCATCTTCTCCCACGTTTCTGATACTTTTTCAGTGGTGAAATACATTTAGTCAACACGCATATAGAGTTTCTTCTTGCTTCGCATTAATACTTTATCAGCGTTTGCATATCTGGCAACGAGGAGCCAAATTTGGGGCTGGGGATGTTTTTGTCATGTAGAAGATCTCCTCATTCACTGAGCTCTACTATTCTAAGAAGGACACACTTATGACTGCCATACCCCGCAGCATATGTTGTTTTTCTTATATTGAAGTGTCTCCCTTTTTTGCATATTAAACCTTCGGCCCCATCAAACCCAATTAGCATCTTCTATAGTGGCCTTACGTGCGACAAGGTGGAGGGCGTGCGTGTGTGTTGTCGGAAGGGTGGTCGGTTACAAAGACGAGGTGCTACGACATAAATTGGATCACATTTCCTTTAACCGTCCTCTATTCTTCATTTCAAAGGAGTCATTTAATTATGACCTTTTCATCCGTCCTGTATTTGTTTTTTGTTTGTCGCACAGGCACCGCAACACTCATGTGTGAGTGTGTACACACACACACACACTTTTAGTCTCGGGGTATTGATTGCCAGGTTGAGTGCAAGAAAGCCTTCTGTGTGGCGTTGTTGCGGACGACAGCAAAAACAACGGCACGGATATTCAAATGAGCATCCAATTACGCCAGCAAAGAGTCACTTTTGTGTGGCGCACACGGGTGCCAAATTGCACTCTTTTGATCTTAAACCTTTACTTACACAACTCTGTCGATGAGTAATTTCACCCGGCGACTGACAGGGGCCTGAGACAATGCCTCAAGCGGTTTCTGCTCGCTCCTTCCTCTTTCTATATCTCTCTTGGTCCTTCTCTCAATGCCTTGCATTCATTAAGGGAGTGGAGAGGGACAAAAGGGGAAGGCTACAAATTACTGATAATGATGCCGGACTAATGAAGAGAATGGAGAAATTTCATTAGCATTTAAGAGGCATGGATACATGCGACCCGCCATAGTCGCTCTCCATTACCCCTCACTCAAGGAAGCAAGAGGGGCCGTCTGAAACTCGATGCCTCATTTGCATGCTTAAGTGGCAGTGGCTCCTGATTGGTAAGGGGCTGTCAGCTTCTCATTTATGCATCATAAACAAAATCTGTGTGCTTTCCATATTGCCGCTAGCGACGATTGGCGAGCAGATTGACAGAAGGTAGGCTTTCAGGCAATAATAACTAAATAAATATATGAAAAAACTAAACTAAATAAATATATGAAAGCGTTTAGCTCTGAGGTAAACATTTCAATTCAAAAGCAGTTAATAAAAAGAGCAGTCCTTCATCCTTAAGCAGTGAGAGAATGAGCACAGGGACTCAGAAATGAAGTCTACACAGGTTAGTTGAGTACTGTGTGTAATATTAATAAGATAACTGGACATTTTTAGAAAGCAATAAATACCACACTGATTCTGAACCAGAGAATACAAAAACTAGATAATAGCTAATATGCATATTATTCTGTAAGGAAAATATTGATTACCGATTGAGAAATGGGCTGATTTCTGGGTTTAAATTGGCAAAAATTTCATTTTATACATCTTTATGGGTTTGCGAAGAATAGTTTTCGGTTTAATTCTAGCTTTTTTCTCATCTGGATTATCTGTGGCCTCAGCAGGTGTTTTCAGCTTTGTGTGACGGTATCTGACTCCACTAGATGGCTCCAAAATGAACAAGCCTTATATCTATGAAGAGCTATTCCACACTCTAGTCAGATGTACTACATCATTATACACATACCATCAGCATGCTGATTCTTACTTACAATATTATATTTGGGATTTCTGCAGCTCACATTATTTCCCTCACTCATCCACGGTCACACAGAAAATATGCATTAAATTGCATCTTAGAAATTTTTCAACAATTTCACAAACTCTTCACCCTCCCAATTTCCCTACTCCTGCCCTCACCTGAAACTCATCAAAGCATAGGAGACAGGTTTCCTCTGCGATCTCCATAGCAACCGGAAAGATGGGGTCATACATTGTCATTTTACCAATCCGTCGCTTTGGCAGGCTCTGTTTCAGTTTGTGGATCCCTGAATGCAATGCACAAATTAAAGTCAATACAAATAAATGCTAATGCTCTCAAAACTTAAATGAAAATAAATTTTGATCTCAAATAAATCTATTCTACTTTATGCTGTTATTTTCCTCAAATGTTATTCATGCATGATAACAAGAATATTTGTTTGCTACTTGTACAAATACAAAATAGTACTACTTTATATTGATTAATATGGAATGAGGTAAATATACCATACAGATCAAAGGTTTGGGGTCAATTTTTTAAATTCATTTTATTTTGCAAAGATACATTCAACTGATCAAATGTGAAAGACATATTTTTACAAAAAGATTTCTATTTCAAATAAATGTTGTTCTTTTGAACTTTTTATTCATCAAATAGTCCTGAAAGAAAAAAAGGTATGATAGTTTCCACAAAAAGTATTAAGCAGCACAAAATTGATAAGAATAAGAAATATTTCTTGAGCATCAAATCAGCATATTAGAATGAATTCTGAAGTATCATGTGACACTGAAGACTGCAGTGAAGGCTGCTGAAAATTCAGCTTTGCCATCACAGGAATAAATTACATTTTAGCATGTATTAAAATAAAAAAATATTTTTAATAAAACTTTTAAAATATATGTTTTAATTGTGACCAATATGACTAATTTCTCCTGTATTTTTGGTCAAATAAGTGCAGCCTGGGTGGACCCAGAACAAAAAACTTCATTCAAAAACGTTTAAAAATCTCACCGACACCAAACTTTTGAATGGTTGTGTATATGACCTTTCATGATGTGTCCACACTTGGTTCACCTTGGTTTAGTTAGAACTTACTTCTATGTACATCTAACATGAATGCATTGAAATGAACCCTGTTTTTTCTTCTGCTTTTCACAAATGAATAAAAAAGGTCCATCAGCATTGTTTTCCCAGTGCCTGTTGATTATGAAACAAAAACAGAATAAGCATTGATTGGCCTCTCCAATGTAAAGTCCAGTCCAATCCCTCCAAACTCAATGCATGTTTAAAATGACTAATCATTTTGTGGCCATAGCTAAAAAAAAAAAGAACTCAAGCTTACCAACATCACCATGGATATAGTAACCACGAGGAGGATGTGGCTTTGTTTGGGGACTCCTGTGAAACAAGAACAAATATACTGTAATCATCTTCTTCAAAGCTGTAAAAAGCTTGTTTGCTTAATTCAGCACATTTAACCTACATAGCTCATATCATAAAACAAATGCATAAAAATGCACAAATGCAAATATCATAAAAACACCTGAAGGTTTGCTTTTGTCTCCCGCTAAGAAAGAAAATACATTTTCAGGTAAGAGTCAGATTAAGAGTCCCCTTGACTTGAAATTTCCAAACAATGTCAGCGTTGCATTCAACTTTAAGAGTACAAGGGGTTTGATGAGCCAGTCCAGAACTGTCTGTGGCTGCAAACAATTGATTATTCAGGAAAGACAGAGAGCCGACATCCTTATCCCCGTATTCAGATTTTTTTCTGGTGGGGTGAATGCTGTTTGAGCACGCAGTGAAGCGCAGCGTTCTTGGATGACAGCGTGTGACTTCTCACTGACTTCCAGAACTCTCTGTAGCTCGTTATTGTGGCTGGTGGCAGTGGTCCAGTCACAGTAGAGTGGACAAACACAGTGAAGAGACTGAGAGAGAGCGGACACAGGCCCTGTCAGGGACGGGTCCACAAGGTGGAGTCATGCTCTACACTTTCACAGGACGCAGCCAAGGGGAAAAAGTTCACATGCCAACACTCTTAGTTAGAAACGCTCTGTTTTCCACTCTCTATCACAAATGAACTGTTATTTGCTCTGGTAATGCTTTAGATAAACAATGACTTTGGGATTTTAATAAATTTTTTGGAAATAACTTTGGGTATTATAATAAACGATTAACTTTTAAATGAAAAGAATGCATTTATTCATCCCTTGCACTGTTCAATTCACCCTACGCACAAAGTGTTTCGCCTTTTTTGTCCTAAATAATCACCACAAGAGCACATCGCTGTACATGTTTATGTTTATTTCCCCTTATTAAAAGTGGAGCTGGGAATCTCTTTCCCAGACAATAGCGACCTCTCATTACTGAGGCGAGGGATAGGTGGGGTGTCCTGACTCAGTAGGGGGCTGTGCTGTGATCCAGCAAGTGCTTGGTCTGGTCTTTCCTCCCACTCTCCACCGCCACAAACACAAACAGGCTGAAGCTGCTTTGACCTACAAATAACAGTCCCACAGCAAATTAGGCAATGGCACAGTGCAAGCGCTGGGGTCTGACTGAAGGTTGGACTGCTAAGCTTTTTCTTCATTGTAAACATTCAAAGAATGCATTGCTCAGTTACGCACATACAAACCACACCTCCTGTGTGTCATTAACATCTCTGTCTTCTTTTTCATTTGAGTTTACTTTATTCTCCAGTTCTGAGGTGGGTTGACTCTGTAAACAGTCTTTAGGTTGAGGGAGAAGGATCGGGATGTTGGTATAGTCTGTCATCACTCTGTTTAACTGTCCTAACTGAAGAAGTGCAGCTCTCTGTTGAGCGTCCTCTCGCAGTGACCCGGAGAGGACAAGGCTGTCATAGTGGCTGATGAGTCCACTATGAACAGCCCAAGGTGCTGACGTAGATGTATGTCCTGCAAAAAACGTTGAACACTGTTAAGAAAGAAAAATATGTTGATAAACATTTATTTGACATCTATTTAGAAAATATTTTTTACAGTGCTTATATCACATAATACTTGATAATAATTCCTTAATAATTCACATTAAGACTTTGTGAAGATGTTGTATTTGATGAATGCAGAACAACAGAACCAAAAAAACAGCTATTATGTGTGACATAACTTCTTTTTTTTTCTTGATTACGAACAAATGTATATGGCAAGAGAATAATTTTAGCATGAGTAAAAGATGACCATTTAAATTTGTGGGTGAACTATACATTTTAGGCAAAACATACAAGTGGCCACATCTTGAAATAAAATATGGTCATAATATAGATGATAATGAAATAATAATAAATGCTTAATCAAAAAAAAAAAAAGCCATACTGCCCAACACCTTCAAATTTAAAAGATTGTTCAATAGGAGACATTTAAACTTTATTATATATTTTTTTTAAATAAAAAAAAAATTTATTACTAGATTTAAAATTTGGGAAAGATTCAAGAAATATGTTATTATATGTAAAATAATACAGCACACTACAAAGTTCGACACCCTGGTTATTAGTTTTTAAATAATAATAATAATAATAAACTCTCTGTCTCTCTTTCTCTCTAAGATAGATATTAAGAATTATGACGTAAATGATTTCCCGCAGTTATCACGTGTTATCAGCGCTGTCCATATGACAGGAGAGGAGAGTATTCATGCTCACCTCTACCCTCCTTAAACACTTGACTTCACACCAAACTCCTTTCGACAAACCTAGCTTTTTGTGTGTAATTCTTATAAGGCATCTCGTTGTCCACCGCAACGCGTATGCCGCCATGTTGATTCAAAACCTAATAACTTTATTGAGCTCTGTAGTCTGTACACTGACACCTTGATATCCCTTAATGTAGATCAGACTATGGTGTTCTTTCAGGTTTATGTAAGTTACATTATATAAGAAATCTATAATGTAACAAACACGTTACATTACATAAGAAATGTGTCTTTATAAATATAAACTGAGGCAAAACCTAAATCATCTCTCATTCGTGAATAAATGCGAGATATTATACTGCAGGCGGTTATAGTAATTGAGAACCTATAGCATATTTTTAACATTACAGATTTACAAATAGTGCACTGTTATTGCTTTGACAGCACTTAGAATGCTGTCACGTGAGCTTGAATAAATGACAAATATCACTGTTCAAAAGTTGGACATTACAGACGTTCTCCAAAAACTGCATTGTACTTGCTTTGCTAACATTTATCCAATCACAGCTCAGAGTATTTTGGCACGTGACTGTATAAACGCTAGGCATTACTCTACGGACGGTTATAAATAGTAATTTATATTATAACCTATAACATTTTCGACTTCACAAATGTAGCCTGCCCTACACTAAAAAGTACACTCTACTTGCTATGACAGCTTCTATCCAATCAAAGCACGCACAGGGATAGTACCACGTGACCGTGTTGGTATGTCACATGTCAGCTGTTCCTCAGCTGATCGGAAGTGCAATCGATAGCCGCTTGTTTGCTCAAACCTATAACTGAAAGCCATGGCTGAGGCCATAGCAGATACGAGAAGGCTGTATACTAAACCACAAAACCTGAGCGATGCGTATGGGCCACCGAGTAACTTTCTAGAGATTGATGTTTCCAACCCCGAGACGGTTGGCGTCGGTCGGAACAGGTTCACGACATATGAGATCAGACTGAAGGTGAGCAGCCAGTGCTGGCCTGACCAGACATCACACTCTCGGGCACACTGACCTGATCAGACTGATGCTTAAATACATTCTTAATGCGATTATAATGAGTGCCGATGGTATAGATCATAGTGTAGTGTGGCTCACATTAGTTAATAATTCCATGACTTCTGTTGACTTGCGCGTCCAGGTATAACTTTGTAAAACTTGATGGCTTGCTAAATATTTCCATGACAGTGTAACTGTTCAGCTTGGTTTTGATTTTGATTTAGCAAAGCATTGAGCACACCCTCATGTTTTTCAAACCCATATAACTTTCTTTCTTCACTGGAAAACAAAAGTAGATGTGACTGATGCTGTCATTGTGCCTATTACAATTCACTTTCATTGAATGGAAATCAGGTTCATTGAAAGGTGGCTGAAGCTGGCAGTTGTTAACATTCTGCTTAACATCTCCTTTCTTTTGTGTTCACTAATAAGAATGAATACAGGTTTGGATCAAAATGAGGGTGATGACCGATTATTCAGGTTTTGGTGAACTATCCCTTTAATTTTTCCATTTGGCACTGACCTAAATATTTTGTTAAGCCTGACTGTGTAATGATCAACTAAAGTACGTTGTGCAGTCGAGTACGTAGTTAAGTTGGTATGTGTACAATTGGCATGAGAGAGTTTTGAGACGAGTGTTTCAAGCAATTTCCACTTAGATCTCAAGCATATAGTCTGTGTGACCACACCCCTTTGTGTAAGGCCAAGATAATGGTGCTTATGATGATAATGATGAACCTGGTTAACGCTAAAGTGCTGTGCTCATCTTCTTTATCAAGTGAGACCTTTCAGTTTGCTAGTTCAAATGCTTTATTTACTTCAAATTTTCTTGTTCTTGTTCTCACATGCGCCTTATTCGAACAGGAATTGGTTTTACGCTTTTTTTTTTTTAAGTTGTCTTACGATTAAATTCTTCTGAAGCCGCTGTGTAGATTATGGTTATAGCATCAATTTTCCACACTTACACACACCATTCCTAAGGCATGAGTCAGCTTGCCCATATTTGTGCTGATAAAATGCATACCGTCATGGTTTGTTGGCCAAATTATTTTGAATGCTAGAGGAAGTTTATAACAGTGAGACAAAGACACATGTGGCTTCCATCTGCTTTGCATATGTGAGTGTTTGTGCACTGTTATGCATGGAATTAACCTTTCGACAGATAAAATGACTGACAGGCCAAATAGCATGCAAACCTCCCAAATTCCCACTGTTATGGTAAAAAGGTGAAGTTACGTTACATGTAATTTGAATTCTAGGTATCCAGAGACAGCTAAAATTGCAAATGTTGAATGTTCGTCCAAAAGCAAAACATCTCTATGCTTACATAAAGAAAAGGAAAGTAGACTACAGTATGGTGAATGTTTTGAGGATCTATCATTAGTATGATAGTAAATCATGTAATATGATAAAAGAGAAGACAGAGAAAAAAATTCCTCAGTTTTATTCAGATGCCCAGACGATACAATTTGGTGCAGTTGCTGATATTAATATGCCTAAAAAGTAAGATGAATTCTGATTACTTACTACTTACAAGCTTCTAGCATTATATTTAGTGTTTCAACACTATACTTTGCTTTCTGTTTTACATTACTTCAAATTGCTTGTGCTTTCTGTTTTAAATTACTTCAAATGCATGAGAAACAAATCAGTTACATCAAAATCATCAGGTAGGCCAAATCAGAAAGCAAGCTGACTCATGTCATCATTTTGTTTCCAGGGGCATACAGTATCTGCCCCTGAAAAGCAGTGGGTCAGTTGGTGTAAGTAGTGTAATTCTTCCAGGGTTTTCCCTGCATAGAGAATTATGAGGTGGCCACATCGGGCAAATTTTTTGCTACCTCTGGTTGTTGACAAACTCAGACAGGCAGTCATGTGCAAGTGTCACTGAACAGTATCCATTAGGGCTTTTAGTCCAAAAGTGTGCATATCTGGAGAAATACTGATATCTTTACACATATTTAATTTATATTTCTTTAGACAGAATCATAATTTCTGTTCATTTTAGACTGAATTATGCGATCTGATGAGCATTCGCGGCATCCAGCACTGTCTCATATGTTTTCTCTTCCGCTATCGCTGTTTTGACTTAGAGGAAGCATATGTCATATGTCACTCATTGTGTGTTCATAACCCTCTCTGTCTCTTTCGATGACGAGCTTCCATTACACTTCCGCATTGTGTTCTGTACACACAGCAAGCCCAGAGAAACGTGAAGCTAATAAACGCACTATTATGATAGTATATTCATTATTTTCATAACAATAAAGAATGTTTACATGAGAAATGATAGTGATTAGCTTAATATAAATGGCTACAAATAACTTATTTCAACAACATTATATGACTAAAATCCACATTAGATCGCAATTGTAAGTTATTACAAACACTCAATGGTGGTTTGAAGTGAGATTTGGGTGAAATCGTAGTATTAATTAATCTTATGAATAGTCTTATGTAACTTGATGCTAATGTTAGCTCTGATACACCTGTTACCCTTAGGGCTGCACGATAAATCGAAATGGAATCGAGATCGCGATTCGACAGAAGCTGCGATTGTCATGCGTATCTTTCAGTGAAGCACGGTTCTGTGATCAGCCCTGCTGTGATTAAATTTCATGATGTATTCTATCAAAAAATTTATGTAAAGTTGTAAGAAAATATTTTGTTTTCTAGAAAGACACTTTTTAATAAGTGGATAAATGTATATTGGATCAAAGCGGTGTGGACCAGGAGACTGTAATGAGTGGATCAAGATTTTCAATTTCATGCAGTGTTTAACGGTCTGATGTTATGTTTATGTTCACCTACACTGTAAAAGGGCCCCTTTTAGCTGTTTAGATGTTGTATTTAATTTAATGTTCATCAGGTTTTTTTTTTTTTTGTTTCATCTAATAATTAGAACATCTAAAGTATGTTGCGTGTAAAAAGTGTTTGCTTCTGCCAGTTAAAGGGTGGGTACAATATGTGCATGATCAGGATGGTACCAATTCCGCCTCATTTTGAGCCAGGAAAACCCTGTTTTCCCTATAGTTTTTAGAAGATTGCTAGAACTAAGCATAAAATTTTGCAGCTCTCAGTTGTCCTCAGTATTTTATCTGGACTCATATTTGTCCAGACATGCTGTTGTTTTCTAAGAGGCGTTTATGTTCTACTGATGTATCCAACTGTATCAGGTGCCGGATAACTGTCTGTACTTCCACTGGTAGTCACACAATGCATTTCTTTTAATTTGCATTAAGTTAAACTCAACTTTGAACTTATTGCTAATGGTCGAAGTTGCTCAAATTGCAGAAATCACCAGAAATAACTTTGTTACTGTGTGTGAACGTCTCTTTGGCAAGAATACATTTGACCTTGGTGTGGGTGTGTGGCCCAGTTAGAAGTCATCCTAGTGGTTAAAGATTTAGGTTGGTAAACAAAAGATTGCACTGACTATTGTGCACTCGCTGTCCCTGCAGCTTAACATTGCAACATTACCTGAAAGTAGTGGAAACAAATTTCACAGTTCTCAGTTGTTCGTTGGTCTACAATTGTGTTCTATTCTCTGTTCTATTTTATTTATTTCTTGACACATTTGTATTAATACTCAAAGTAGGGGTGGGCGCTATACCAGTATGAAAGTGAGTACCGGTATTATGTTGTTCCATGATATAGATTTTGCTATATCGTGGATACCTTTATATATTCATGAATTCAAATTTTGCATTTATATAGTTTTGATTAATTTGGAACGCTTTGCAAATTTGAACACAAATGACAATAAAGAGTCAAGGCTGAACATTTTTGCCCTCTGTGCAACGCCGTACTACACAGGCATTAGTAATCAAACACCATAGAGCATCGTAACAGGCCACATTAATAGAGCACAAATCGCCTACTCCAGTGGTTCCCAAACTGAGGGATAGTGTACAGTCAGCAGATTATTTTGCAAAAGAAACCTCTGCAGGGTGGTAAAGACTACACTGCGTAATTTCCAGCTTATCATGCGGCCACTTGCCTGATAAGCAAATAATTGAACGCAAACTATTAATTTGACATTTTAATTACCTCAACATGACTCGCAGTACCCGCT